TTCCACAAGCTGCAAAAGAGGTCACCAGCTCCCACTACCACAGTGGGATCCAGAGGGCGCCATACAACGTGGGTCACGTGATGGTCCAGATTCAGCAAGGCGGTGTCCGGGGTCAAATCGATAGGCTTGGCGGGGGCGATCTGGATGGAAGAGCTCTCTCCGTTTTGCAGAGTGGGCGGTAGTTCGGGAATCTCCTCGGCCATGCTGACATCACCATCCTCATCCATATGATCGGGAGTATTTGGCTGACTTTCAGTTCGCGCCTTGTCCTCCATGGATTCATCGCTATCAGTTTCGTCCTTTCGGGTGTCCTTTCCGGACTCGGCATGGCCGTTCACCGGGCGGTCGCGCGCAAGTTGACCCGGCGAAACTGGGTCTGTGCCGACCGCCTCATCGCGACTTTCCGCCGATCCAGTTTTAGTTCCAATTTCAAAGGGCTCTGGTCCGAAAAAAAAATCAGACGGTGAAAGGCTTTTGTGATTGCCCTCCTGTGCATCGCCATTAGTTTGGTTCTCAATTGAGGAAACCAGAAAAAAGTAGATTATTTTTTCCGTTTGGCGCGTAAGGACCGTTCAAATTGAAACACATACCTTGTCCAAGGAGGATTCCATTTCGTGATATTGCAGGCCCTTCTGGACCAGCGACACCAGCGCATGGGTTTTAATGTAAGGCGCAAATGGGAGAGTCTGCGGATCCGGGAACCACGCGCGCTGCAAAGACACGGCGGCATCGCCATGGCCTACGTCGAGTTAGAGGTCAATTGGACGGGGCAAAGGGGGCAATGTGACCAACCGGCTTCTTGGAGGTACCTCGAAGGATATTAGCGCTGCAGGAGATGCATGGGTTATATTGTACTTACCTCCATATTAAATAGTTGACGTGATGCGACGTGAGGTCAGGTTGTGCCATGATTACATGTGCGACTAGCTAAGGGCCGCGGACATGCCAGAGAGAGAAGAGCTGTTTTGCCGATGAAAATTAAAGTGGAGGCTTCGATGCGCGAGCTTCAGGAACACGGAACACGAGGCCGGAAGGGGGTGGGAACTTCCGGATAAACAGAAAACGGGCTTTGCTTGTATTTTCCACAAAGAATCTGAGACTTTTGAGTCTTGAAGATCGAAAAGAAAGCCAAGACAAGGGAGAAATTGGAGTTTCGGGGAGGGGGGTGGGGAATGGAAGTGAAAGAGTGGAGGGAAGAAGAAGTGGAATTGAGGATCAAGAAGAATAGAGGCTATTCTGTAATCTCCTAGAAATAGAAATCGAGTATTCAAATCGAGACGAAAGAGTGAGAGGGAGAGGAAAGTGAAGATCTGAGATTAAAGGATCCAGAATGTTTGGCAGAAGTCCATTTAACACACACTAGCCACTTTGGATCCTCCCTGTGGCGTCGACTCTCCACACTTTTTTTCGAACTTCTCCTCTCCAGTCGTGTTTCTATTTAAGGTATATGACATTGGGTATCTGCATGATATTTAAACTTGATCAAACACCTCTGCTATTCCAACCCTTGAACTTCTACGACTTCAAATTACTCTCCCGCTAAGCCCCTAAAATGGGGTTCTCCACATATCGGGGGATTTCAGCACGAGCACCCTTTGCAGGTACATAGGTACTTGATTGATTCCCTCACTTCTTGGCGTTCCCTTTCCGATTTAGTGCTCAACCCTGCCGCTTTTTGCTCGGCGTCAAGTCGGTCCTTCGACAATTGGACGAAAACATTACCCAAACTGGACACTCCACACCATGGATCCACGAAGTCTCATCCATCCGTCGTATAAGGAATCTGTATCCTCCTTTACACTCATGCATTGGTCCTATCCTGCTCTCTTATATATGATGCGCTCGGTCGGAGGAAAGCCGTCTTCATTAGGGGCATATTCACATTCATCGGCGAATTTATCCTACACTTCGTTCAAGCTACCCCAATTGCTTGTCGGTCATATCATCATCAGTATGGGCATTAGAACGGTCTTTACCATGGTTCCGTATGGCAGTCTGAGTGCCCGAAAGCCACCAACCAGGGCAAGAATGTCGTGATCGATGGTATCTCCATTACCAGTAGCTATTCCATGAGCTACTGGATCAATTTTGGCTTCTCTCATATCGAAAACCAGTCCGTGTCATGTATAGTTTCCCTAGCAATCCCTGCTGCTCTGTCCCTTGTCTTGGTCACTTCCATATTTTTCTTCCCCGAGTTACCTCGCCGGCTCGTTCTAATTGGCCAGGGAAAACAATCCGTAAAGGAACTAACTCGAATTAGATTGAAATCGATGTATCGAAAATCCGACGCGAGATCTCATCTGTCGATTTCTCTCCGGAAACCGCTCAAGTTGCCGCTTCCTTCGAAGATATCTTCACCATGCAGGATGGAAGCTATTCTACCGTTCTGTGCTGTGTCTCGACTTGCAGGTTTAAACTCAAGTGACCGGAGTACTTTACAGCCGTCCAAGCAAAACCTGGGATTATCGGGACAATTGCCCCGTATTTCGGAGTTCATCGCTTCGTTCGTGGCATTCTTCGCTATTGACCATTTTGATCGACGGAAGCTGTTCCTGTTTTGTGGATATGGCCTCACGCTTTGCATGATATCTATGGCCATCACTTCCAACTTCTCTAGTAAAGACCCACGCGGTGTCGGTGGTCGATGCGTTTTTCCCGTTCATCTTTCATCGAGGAACAAGATTAATCAGAGGAACAAGATTAATCAATCCACAGAACCCGTTGCCTTATGGCATAACCTTAAACAATATTTTTGGCCATTTTAACAATATACTTAAGACATGCATTCCTTAGGCACCAACCCCTCCTTCAATCCCCAAACCACCCCGCGATTCAGAGAAGACAGGCCATGCGGGCCGAAGTCAAACGTGCATTCCTTCTTACAATATTCTTATTACACCTTGAGGCACGTATTCGTTCTTCCAAACAAACACCTCAATCAAGATCTAGGGCGAGCACCCCGTCCTTTTGCTGCTCAGACACACCTTACGATGTCCAGAGTTCTTGGGCGAGTATCCCGAGACCCTCAAATTGTTAGTGCACGCAGGACAATACGTGCACTGGTCCTCAATCAATCGCGCAACGGAGTGGGCAGTGTAATAGCTCAGATCGGTATAGGAACCATGATAAGGACCAACCCTGAGATTGCACGAGTTGTAAGTGTAAACACTCCTTAGGTTGCCAATGTTCGACCGCGACTGGGACATATACTGAAGAAGGGAAAGACAGCTAGACTTGTACGCAAGGTTACCCGTACTGCATTTAATGCCGTATGTAACACGTTTGTTGAGGCTTTCCTGGGCTTCCTCGGGAGTTTGCTGAGCGATAGTCGTGAAGAGGTCGACGATGTCGGTGTGCGAATCTGTCTTGCTTGTGTTGCCGTAGAACAAGAGAGCATTGGCATATAGCTCTGGCTCGGAGCTTCTGTAGCCCAGTGCGTCTTCCTCGATACTCTGAAGAACGGTCAAGTTTGTGCCCTCGATGATGCCGGTGCTGCTGTCCACATCCCCGGAAATGTGGTATCTGGCCCACACTGCGTCGCCGAATCGTCCCTCCTGTGTGGCGCTCACGTATTCGCTAGCCCAAGGCTCGACGATAGGGAACCCTCTTGTGTCATTTTGAACAACCTCGTCGATGGTGAAGTCTAGAAACAGCTGTTCGACAAGCTCGGTGGTGCTCAGACTCAGAGCAATAGCGGCCCGTTGGTTTAGAAGGAGGGCTGCGAGGAGGTAAAGCGAACGCATAGTGACAAGGTTGAAAAGGTATGTATATATTCTTTTAAGATGGGATGATCAAACAAAGAAGAATGAGATTTGAAGTGGGATGGAAAGAAGTAAACCAAATTCGAGCAGTTGTTTGAATGTTATTTATACATTTCCTGCCTCCTCATCTAATTCTGTATAGCAGCACATTTAGGTCAAAGGTCCCTAAACAGCTGATTGTTAGGAGTAGATCAGCTGAAGCTGACAGTAGTGTATACATGGATTCAGGTTACATTGCATGGCTTATGCAGTAGACCCCAATCCTTCAAACGCAATGCTTACCTTAGAGGCAGTGGGATCAGTTGTCGATTGGTTGACTGATGTACTTTTTTCTGTTTCTGTCTCATTCCTTCAAAATACGAGGAGGATGCCGCAGGATTCCCCAAAAATAGGGAAAACTATCATGTTACATAAAAAGAAAATATAAGCTGTGAGATACCGGAAGGAGTAAGTGGGAGAGACACTACAACTGTAAGCTTAGGCCATTGGACAGAAGCCTCACCCCCGCATAGTAGTGTTGGTCGAGTTGCTAATGTAGCCATGCAACCATCTGAGCATATTCAAAGCCAAAAAGCGCTGTTTTCTCCAGATAGTGGGCATCATGCTCCCACAACAAAGCCGTGCCGCCCTCTTGCTTACTGTAAGAAAGCCTTATAATGCCGATCATCCAAATGTATATTTTAAAAAAGACAAACGATCATGATCGGCCGCTTAAACCGGATCTTGGCATTGCTTAGCGGCTTTAAGCCACACAATAACAGAAACATTTGGCCCCAGTACGTTGCCCCAGGCTTAATTTATAAACCTTATCATATTATGGGGATCCAAGGCAGAAGCATTTTGCGTTCACTCTGAGATTGGAATAAATGTGTCGTGTCGGATAAATATAATAAGACAGGCCTTGCGTTTCTCCCAACGCGTCTGGTGACTCTGATCATCATAATCCAGCCCTTGAAGGTCTAGCTCTGTCGGGTATGCCGCTATTTCGCTTCATGCATGCGCTTCGCCCCGATTGTGGGCCATGACAAGCAACGGGAAATGGGAACTTGACACGAGGATTCCTAACTAAGGATGACACGGCAGCTTTACATTTGGAGTCGATGACAGTGTATGTAGATCAAGCACCTGTGTACAGCCCCCTAGAAGAAAAATTGATGGTAGAATATGTCGAGAAGAACCTGGCTCGAGGGTTTCTTTCTAGAATCCAAGCAGCTCAATGAGTCGCACGTTACATGACAATTAAAATTCCAATTCATCAGCTAGAAGCTCAGCACGATGTTTAGCCCGGGCTTGAGCCCGTAGCTCCTTAATGTCTTGATTTCCAATGCGGGTAAGGAGGTCAATCACATCACGATGTCCATCCGAGGCACTAGTACGCTCGTAGACGGATGAGAGCGCTTCTGCATACAGGTCTGGATCGCCCACCCTGTAACCCAGTGCATCTTCCTCGATCATCTGCAGAACGGTCTTGTTTGTGTCCTCAATTATGCCACCATGCACACCACCGTCGATATGGTAGCGTGCCCACACAGCGTCGCCGAATCTGCGTTCCCGTATGGCGTTCACGTATTCGCTAGCCCAGGGTTCTACGATCGGAAATCCCCTGGTATCCTTTTGAAGCACTTCTTGCACAGTGAAGTCCAGGAACAGCTGTTCCACCAGCTCAGTCTCGCTGATACTCATGGCTCTGTATCGAAAATATGTTATTTAGATAGTGCTGGTATGTAATAAACTTTGGTGCAAATACCTGGGTATTGGCGTTTCTCTTCAAGCTAAGACTCAATGTCAAGTAGAGCTGCAGTAGATCGATGAGGTGGAAGATGAAAATGATCGGAAAGTGAGACTGCCGCTTCCAAGGTTAGTTTATTATCTGAGTCAGGTCATACTAGGCAGCAGCTCAGGCAACAAACCTCGGAAGGATCATCGAATTAATGTTACGGGCCCACAGCGGGGCAGGGGGTCTTATGTAATACTAAGAGTACCGGCGCTAAGCCTAAATGGGGTTAGTCGGAGATAAAATCTTACTAAATATTACATAATCACGGCAGGAAGCGAACCTTAATGGTTATAGAAGTGGGTCTTTCGACATACAACATACCTAAATTGCCTCTTACATATTTGAATAGTATTACTCGGAAGTGTGGGCGTCATAGACTATTAGGCACTACAGTGTGAGAATTGCGGTTAGCAGAATACATACCTAAAGTAATCTAGCGGGGATTGTGTTGGTAGCCCTTCTCTTCTATCAGAAGAAACAAACATGATGGCCTTATACCAAAGCGAATGACAGTTGTGAAACAAGTCAGCCGGAAATAAGAGAAGCCACTCCTGTTCTTATCATCACATGGCTATATCATCATGTTACCATTTACATTAAGCGAGCCCATATCGTTGTTTGTCTCATTTGTAAATAGTGGCATAAACCGACCGCCCTCAGGATACCTATAAGAAGGTGACCCTGCCCCTAGAACTTCTTCTTCTTTTCTTTCTTCTTCAGCTCTCTTTGCCTCTGGCTTAGATCAAGTGTAGTATCTGTTCTATTCAGTTTAATCGCTGAATGTTCTGCCTTGCAGAACGTCATGATTATTCTAATATTTGGACCTCGCGACTTGGCCTCTATGCTTGCACACGCCTCGTTGCACAGTGTCACTAGGCTTACGCTACCCCCGGTCGACGCGAACTCCTTTTCATCAACTGTTCGGCTTGTCCGGGCGCTTGGAGAAGATCTCTGTGTAGGATCTACGTTCTTGGCAAGAGTGCCGATTAACTCACCGCCCTTTTGAAGAGTGGATCTGAAATACTGCCGGGCAATCTTAACCAATGAAAGGGTTATACCCCGATGGCATACATACTATGTACTCCGTAATTCAGATCGGCAGCGCATGGTGTCAGAATCTTAGCCACGATCGTAAGCAGAGACCGTGGATGGATACTTTTGTTGCTGGCCAGGAATACAAGGAGTTTCCTAGGTTTGATACTGACGGGTTCTTTGTCAAACAGAGAGGGAGGAATTGATTGCAATGTCACTTCAGTATCTCAAATCATATACAAGAATACTTGAACTATTTGAGTAGTGGATCATCAGACTTTTCTACACATCTAGCCTGTAAGACATTAAATATAGAAGCGAAGCAAAGTTCATTCAGAATCATATATTTAAAACCCAAGGCTCGGAGTACATTTTCTTTCCGAGCAACTCTACGGGCGACTAAGTAAATATGCTATTGTGTATGTCTTTTTTGGTGTCTTTTTTGGCGTCTTTTATACTACCTTTTGAAGGACTTTTGTTGGATGGCCGAAGTTTTTGTCTAGTTTGAGCCTCAATCAGCTACATAAGTAGCTCTTTGTTTGTTTATGGAATGCAACCTCTTCTCTCTCTCTCTCTCTCTCTCTCTCTGTTTCTGTTTCCGAGCCATGCATCAATTTTGATACTACTATTATATGGCTTTTATACTCAGTCGCTCGTATAACTCCCAATACAACTATATATTGCATACATTGTCGTTGATACGGAGGCAGAACTTGCTCTTCCAGATGAAGAGATTATCGACCTAGTTCATGAATATATCCCGGATATCGAACTAGATCCCGTCATATGGTGAAACCATCATGAACCACGAATCGTCCCCGGATATGAGCCTTGTTCAACTATTAAAACCACAAACTACGCCACTCTCGAAAAATCGGAGGGCTTCCATTACTCGCCATATTATAAGGCCATGGGATGGCCCATATCTTAGAATTCCGCTGTATTCGTGCCTGTAAATTCCACACTGAAGATGAACCTTCCGATACACCACCTGGCATTACCTGCCGTGAGGCTGGCACGGCCTGGGATCTGAGGTCCTTTGGTGGTCGTATTTATCCAGTCTTCCAGCCTGACGGTAGTCTATACAATATTCGGGGCTTATGTCTCACGAGCTCCTCTTGGAATTTTGACGCGATGAAGATGAATGAAAATTGGCGGAGGCGCATTGGAAGCAGAAGCAGTCGTTGAAAGCTCCAATCGACCCATTTGCTCGATTTGCACTTTTGGAGGATGACCTTCTGGAGGACCAGGTTAACGCCTCAACCAAACGGATGCTAGATGATGTGCAGGTAGAAACGGGCAGCTCGAGAAAGAAGAGAAGGTTCCGCAGATCTCTTGGTCTTACAAACATCTGCCGGGGCAAAAAAGTCCATCCCAGTCTAGATCTGTGATTGTGTTATAGAACCTAACCTGTATTTATTATTATCGCATTGATTAAATTGTTCTGCACAAGAAGAGAATGGAGGGACTCAGCCCGGTCATTGATCTGTTAGATGCCACACCAATACTGTTCCATATTCCTAGTAGCTTAGAAGGGCTAGGGACTACTACGTCGGCTCAGATGACCCAGGTCACGTCTTTTCCCATGGTGAGCAAGTGGCATAAAGCTTTGCAGATGGTCGGTAACTTTCGATGTATAGCCAGACAAACGCCGACTACAGTCCTACCAATATATCAAGAAGGTCTTGCGGCAGCTTGTCACCAATTCAAATAGTATGTTGATCCTGCTAATATTACAGAAGTAGTTCGAGTTCGATGGCACTTCGCCCTAAAGTTGCTGAAACTGCAGAGGCCGTCATTTGCCGCATTTTTATTTTCTCTTCCGTATAATACCACCTTAAGAATGTGCATTGTTTATGTTTTAGTTTATGTAATCAGGCTCCATAAATTGCCAGCTGAGCCAGTACAGAAATACAGACTGATTGAAACCATTGATTGGACGCATACATTTACGGATACGGTTAATCCGACAGAGTTTGTCAGAACGAGAAATACACCAGTTATTGGTAGCATGTCTTGAGATCCACCTCAGTGGGGTCTTTATGTCGGCATTGAAGGTAGGTTACGTGACAGCGTATTGGGGCGCTAAACTCAAAGAGGAAAAACTAACCGCATATAGTAATTCACAGGTCCCCAATATTACAGATAATATACAACATAGACCGCTTCGTATCGGAGGTGAGTCAGGCCCACCTAGAATGAGGCTCCGTACTCCATACAACGCATCTCCCAAGACTCATATTGAGTCACGGCTTTATATTTAAGTTTCCATGTTATTATTGAGGTTCTGCCAAGGTTTTACCTATAGTGCGTCCTGATGACTCTGACTTTCCAAGGATCTTCCCTGCTAGTATTTAGAAACGAAATCACCCCGCAAGAAAAACATAACAACATCATAATATCACAACATCACATTATCACATTATTACAACATGTCTCTATCATCGAAATCTCGCGCCCAAGGCGCCATCTGGGGTGTCTGCGTAGCCGACGCCCTCGGTGGCCCCGTCCAATTCAAAGCCGCAGGAACATTCGAGCCGATCACATGCCTAAGATCCTGGAAACAACCAGCGGGGTCAGTTCCCATCCCAGCCATATCATCTACCAGAAATAGCTTGTAGTTAACATAAACAAGATCCTATTCGGACGACGGGTCTCTAACACTAGCCCTAGCATGCTCGTTCAACAAGTCCCAAATGCAATACAACCACACGCTAGCAATCCACAACTTCGTCGCATGGCTGACCAAAGGCCAATTCAGCACAATCAACCGCTCATGGGACGTAGGACGCTCCACCCGCACCTCCCTGAAGCTGTGGTCGAAGCGTGGCATAGACAAAGGTGAACTCGACGTGGCCCAGGCGCTGGTCAATAGCAAATTGGATCGCGACGAGTTCTCTGGGAACGGGAGCTTGATGAGGATCGTCCCGATTGGATTGGTTTACTGGCGGGATTCGGGACTGGCGAGGGAGATTGCTAGAACACATAGTCGGATTACCCATCCTTCGCTCGCGTGTGTGGAGGCTTGTGAGGCGTATACGGAGTTGGTGTGTAGGGTTATGAATGGTTGGTTTCTTGATTTGTTTTCTTGAAAGAATATCCGCTGATATGCATTGTGTATAGGCCAGACGAAGGAGCAGCTCTACCAAGCGGTCTCTGAGTTCCCATTTACTCATACTGGTCTGAAGGAGCGCTTGTCACCGTCCAGATATGGAACTATGAGCGACTGGAAAGCAAAGGAGCCTCGTGATATGACGAGTAGTGGATGGGTTATTGATACCATTGAGTGTGCCCTGTGGGCATTCTTCAAGTATGATACTTGGAAGGATGGGGCGTTGGCGGTTGTCAATCTGGGTGGTGACTCGGATACTGCAGGGGCTGTTTATGGAGGTCTTGCGGGCTCGTTCTATGGGTTTGACACTATACCTAGTGAATGGGTGGATGGGATGCAGAAGAAAGGGTTTATTGAGAGTATTGCTGGTGCTCTGTCTGATGGGATAGCTCGAGGATAGCGTTCTAGGACTTCAATTGCACTATAAGGAATTAACATAATGTGAAATTGGCTTCAAGACTCCTTCATGTGTAAACAAATGTAAACAAAGAAGGCGGGCATGTGACATTTGTGATTCCAGGAAGGTGCGATGGAGGGTGTCGCACTTGAGGAAGGCACCGTTTGTTGAGGGTATATAAGGGCCCCTCCCCCCATTTCTCTTCTTCTCTTCTTCTTCTCTCCTCCCCATCTCTCTGTCCACCATCTCACCGTAGCCCCACGAGACAGCGCAGGCAGAGGGACCCGTAGCACATGCTGCCTCACCTACCACAGGGATCATAACATTACCATGATTGTTATGAGGTCCATATAGGTCTGCATCAGATAACAAACCGGGCTTTCTCGTGGACGTTCCTGAAGTCGTGGCTCTCATTGCCACTTGACGAGTCCCATGGAATACATGAGGGATGTAAATCTTCGTAGCCGAGTTGATCCTAGACTGGAGTAACAAGCTGTGCCTGGATGTAATGTAGGGATTTACAGGGAGACCTCAATGTATCCATTTAGAGGTCTCGTCTTGGGGCGATATATTCCAATTCCGTATGAGGGACCCGGTGATACCATGGATTCCAGACGAGGTCCTCGCAGATGGTTCCAACGCGACGTGATACCTCTCAACCGCGTAAACCAAGGTCTCTGGTGCTGTCCAGATATATTCTGTCTCTTCTATTGCCGTAGATCTCCCTAGATCCCCAGATATTTCTCTCTTGAGTCTTCGACAGACAGACTTGGTTTCTTCCGGGGTATGTATCACATGACAGGGTCCAATGTGGACCTATCGGAGCGTTGTACTATTCTAGAACAGCAATGACGTAGCCCGGTTCTTCCATGCGAGACTTTAATATACAACAATGAGCAATACATACTACTAAAATGTATATGACCGTTGTACTAATAGTATCTTGTAATTTCTAATGGACTGTTGCCTGACCAGTTTCTCGCCTAAAGACCGCCACATGTGGCGGAAACATGCCATGTTTTTTTTTATATCTACATAGTCTTTTGAAGCCAAAATTGGAATAATCTGATAGAATATGTTAAACAAGATCAATATGTAGAGGTCAGATAAATAATTGCTTATTCTGGGCTATATATAGGGGAAAAAGGAGAAAAAGTAAGATGACGGCGATTAGACCGGACCTCCGGCCACGAGGGCGACGTAGTTATACATACACTATACATGTTAGACCGTTCAAGTGGTGTTGAAGCTGATTTTTCTTATATTTCAGGGCGTCTTATGATGATAAATGAACTAAGAAACCCTCAAGCCTGAAATTCCAAGTGTAGATCTTAAACAATGGCAGTATAAGTTTGGTCCAAACTGCTTCGTCACTGCCAAGCCCTCTGATTCCCCCCGTTCGAGCCATCCCCTCTCTCTTTCACTTTACATCCTTCATCACTTGACGATCCACTATTGTTTGCCAATATTTCTTTTAGCTTCAAAGCTCAAACCCCTGACCCCTTCGGACTGATATACCAACCTGTCCCTTTCAGAGGAGTAACACGCTTAACAACCATCTTGGGCCGCGACACGAGAAAGAGGCTGTGTGTGCTTGGCAATCTAGTACTCTGCTCGCATCGATTTCCGACCGATTACGATCCATTCTATCCACCATAAACTTGCGACCGTCGCATCACCGCCACCATGTCTAAAGTCGTGCGAAGCGTCAAAAACGTCACAAAAGGATATTCCTCAGTGCAGGTCAAGGTCCGAAATGGTATGACATTCATTACATCGCACTTTTCGCCGATTATCGAGTTCTGGCCGCATGTTGCAGAACCGCTGTTGTCGCTTGCCCCTGTCTTTTTCTGGGGTTGTTTACTGCAATGCGCCCATACATTTCGCATACATTATGACCAAGTCGCTAACTTATTTTTGAAGCCACTAGTAATGACCCCTGGGGCCCTACGGGCACCGAGATGTCCGAGATCGCCGCCATGACTTTCGGGAGGTGAGTTTGTGTCTGCGATCAACCGTGTGAATATCGCTAATGCTACTTGCATAATAGCCCGAACGAGTTCTACGAAATCATGGACATGCTTGACAAGAGACTCAACGATAAGGGCAAGAACTGGCGCCACGTGCTGAAGTCGCTGAAGGTCTTGGACTATTGTCTCCACGAAGGCTCGGAGTTGGTGGTAACGTGGGCCCGGAAAAACGTCTATATTATCAAGACTTTGCGCGAGTTCACATACGTCGACGAGGAAGCAAGGGATGTCGGCCAAAACGGTAAGTTGGTCCTTGAAAATCAGAGACGTTGCAAAATTGACAGATTGGTGTTCTGTAGTTCGCGTGGCAGCAAAGGAATTGACTGCGCTGGTACTGGACGAAGATCGTTTGCGCAGTGAACGATCAGATCGCAAACTCTGGAAGACTCGCGTGAGCGGACTCGACGAAGGATACGGAAACTCCCCCGTAGACGAACCGCCGCGCAGAGAGCGACGCCGACGCAACGGGGATGACGACTCCGACACCGAATACCGTTTAGCTATCGAAGCCAGCAAGGCCGAAGCCGAGGATGAGCGCAAGCGACGGGCTAAGGAGACAATGGCAGGTCAGGACGACGAGGCTCTTGCCAAGGCCATCAAGCTCAGCAGGGAAGAGGAGGACCTCCGAAAGCGCGAATTGGAGGAGAGCAACGCGCAATCTCTCTTCGACGACACCCCAGCCCCAGCTCAAGTCCAGCCAACCGGCTACAACCAGGGCTACCAACAGCAAGGTGCTGTGGACTGGTTCGGCAACCCGATCAATGCGCAGCAGCCTCTGTCAACTGGTTACCTGAACAACCAGTACGCGCAGCCGACAGGATTCCAGAATCAGCCTACCGGCATGAATAACCCTTACGCCAACGGCTATCAGACGCAGCCCTCGGCCTTTGATCAGAACCCTTACGGCCAGCAACAGAACAATCTTTTACAACCGCAGGCCACTCTCCAACCTCAGCACACCGCATTCAACCCGAATAACCCGTACGGTGCGGATGTCTTCTCCCAGCAGCAGCAGCAGCAACAACAACAGTCCCAGGAGAACTATCAGACGGCAGGGAGCAATAACCCATGGGCCGGCAGCCACTCCCAGCAACTGCAGCCCGCTGATGCCCTCAAGCCCATGCCGACAGGATCAAACAACCCCTTCGCTCAACGTACTCAAACACAATTCAACAACCATGCAAAAACAGGCCCGCCAACACTCAATTCCTTGTCGGAGGACCGTGCAACCAATCAGTTTGCCCAGAACAATTCGCAGTATGGTCAAAGCTCGCTGTTCGCCCAACCCTCTCAGCCCAACCCGATCGCCGGTTTCCAAGCCCCACAGCCACCAAAGAGTACCTCGCCACTCAACCCTCACCACGCGCGTCTCAACGCCCTTCTCGGGTCAGGCGAGGGCCAGGATACCTTCGGCAATGTCGGAGACCTTCGAATCCCCGCACAGCACACAACACCTGGCACATTTGTCAATTCTGCCGGTCTGGGTTTGGACCGCCTACACGCTGCTCCTACGGGGAACCCATTCTTCGGCCAACAATTCACAGGCATGCCGCAGCAGACCGGTTTCCAGCAGCAACCTGCCAATAACAACCCCTGGGCAGGTCAGCAACAGCAACAGCGCGGTGGCGGCAGCCTGATTGATCTGTAGTCACTATTTCGTGGACCTCTTCTTTCTTGATTCATTCCTGACAAGGCCACTCACGCGGATACCATCTATCTCATTTTTCTTTCTGTTTCTTCAGTCATTCGGTCATTCGGGGCTCGGCCGTCTGGTTTTTACCCGGTCTCATTTTTTCCTTTCTTTCATTTCTATACCTATCGTTGCTCGATACTCACTACAATCTCCCTACATCCGTGAATTGTGGGCTGGTGGAAGCCATGAACGGAAGGCTTAACTAAAAGACCTAGGCTTTCGTTTCCATGTCCTCGGTAGCCTGCATTTCTTCGATGTTTGACCTGGGTCCTTCAACTTATCTTGTATTCTCTCTTGCCTCAAGACAACCTTTTTTTTTGTTTCTGTCATTGTCTACCATTAGGATATCCTTCTCATTTCAACCACTTTCTTGACATATTACCAGACTCCCTCGTACTTCATAGTTCTAGTCCTAGTATGTTGAGTAATGTCTCTAATTGTGACTATTTTGCGCTTTTCATTTCGTAGTATTGTTAGATGTCAAAACAGAAGAGCCAGCCTAGTTACCGCGCAAAATCATAATACCATAGGGATCACGATCAGCATCACTAACATCAACCGCAACTTCCTCCCGCAAATAAGCCTCCCGAATCTGGACTGCAGCCGCCAATGGAGCCTCACCCGAGCAATTACTATTAACCCCGAGAGAAGCTAGGACAACATCCTCCCACTGCTTCTTAACCTCGACTAGCAACTTAGGCTGCATCACTGAACGCAGATACCCACGCTCGGAGTTAGTATGCGAAAGCGAGATAACCACAGACCCACGCTCCGTGACAGCCAAAGCCTCATGGTGGCTCATCTCACCCGTCAGCAGGAGATCAGGGAGTTCGCCTCCCTTGAGGAGCACGCCCGAGCCCGAGCCGGGACACATGCCCACCGTGCGGACGGAAATAGCATCAACCGACTGGCCTTGCGGGATGGCGATGGGGATACCGCCCGGCAGGCCGATTCCACGCGCGATATTGTCGATCAGTTCAGTGAGGGGCTGTTTCTCGACGAATGTCACTAGACGGCCGGCACCGGCTGACTCGAAGCCTTCTGGGATTGAAGCTGGTGGGGATGGGTGGATTGTGGTCATGGTGTGCGGGAGCGCTCGCGAGGAGGGCCCGCGAGCGGCGGGGATGGGTGAGTCTGGGTAGGTTGGGGCGGTGTACAGGCTTGAGAGGCTGGTTTCGATGTTGGCGTTGGGTGTTGCTGTAGGTTCGAAGTTTCCTGTTACTACGTCGCAGAGCCAGTCGGCCATGCCGCCGGGGACGGTGTCGACTGCTGTGTGGGGGGAGTAGACGCTGATGCCATGTTGGGCTAGGCGGAGGAGGGATCTTTGTTGGGAGTCGGCGAGGGTGAGGGATTTCAGGCCGCGGAAGATGATTGGGTCTGTGTGGTTGGTGTTGTGTTAGGTTTGGGGTCCAATCGCTAGTATGTTATCTTGGATGTGCGCCTTACGGTATGCGACGATAACCGAGTTTTGGTTTTTAATGGCTTCATCGGCTACGGCCGTAGTGAGGTCAATAGTGAGGAGGACCGAGTTTTTCTGTATCCGGGATTTGTCGAAAGGAGCTTCGAGCAGCACTGTCATTGAGCGTGTTAGTCCATTGCAGAAGCCGACCAACTGATATTTGGAAAGAATAACAACTTGCATCCTGTATTATCGAAGCTCTTGTCTGCCAATGCCTCCGGGTATCTACATATCAGAGGTTACATGAAGCTCCATACAATGCGGGGAGCTTGGGGATTAAGCGGGGGGTGAATTACAGCTTTCTCATAGCGCTCACCACAACATTGGTGAATGGCGAGCATTCTGTGTATTTGAGCATAGACATGGCAGAGTATCGACGTGTAGCACGAAGAAAATTCATAGAGGGATGTTCCAAGCGTCAAGGGTTGCAGACCGAAGAAGAGCAGAAAACGAGAATGAGCCACACACGTGAACCACCAGCCACAGCCGACCGGAGGCTCTGAATTTGTAATAAGAGCACCTGAGCGACAACTCCCATACTTCGCGATAACCTCGGGTTTGGCACTTTATCCCCCTCTCTCGTCTTCTCTCGCCTCTCCTCCCCGACCATATACTTCATGTTCTCCCGCACATCCTCCTTGACCGTCCTGAGCAGAAGCTGCCGCTATCTTCTCCGCCCTCACAATAATATCCAGCGGTCTTCATTTTCCCTCACCGCGCGCTCCTACGCCGCCTTCAACGCCGCTATGGCCGACACATCTGGAATCACCACCGATTCGCTGAAGAACAAGTTGACTGAAGCGCTGCAGGCGCAGCATGTCGAGGTTGAGGATCTATCGGGTATGGAAATTGAAATTGAAATTGAATTTATGAAGATGGCGCTATGACGTCGAAATATTTTTTTTGGCTACGTTGATCTCCCGCTGACGTGCTGTCTTTTTGGGTTGGTTTAGGCGGCTGTGGACAGGCTTTCCAGGCCGTGATTGTTTCGCCTCAGTTCGAGAGCAAGACTATGCTTGCGCGACACCGGCTCGTCAATTCCGCGCTCAAGGCCGAGATCGCTGCTATTCATGCTTGGACTCCCAAGTGCTATACCCCCGAGCAGTGGCAGGCTCTGCAGCAGTAATTGGTCCAGGGTGGGGATATGATGGATTGTGAACTCGTCCTAGAGGGATATGGAAGAAATTGTACCAGACCGAAGAGTGTTCAGGAAGGAATCGGCATTGATGTTTAATTGCTCGATTGATTTAACTACAGGCTTGCCTATTTAATTCTGGCATCGGTTCAGGCGTTGGCCGGGTTGGAAAGGATGGAATATTTGTACATTAAAATCCTGCGCTACAAAGTACCATGCAGCAGGGATCGAAAATAAACTTTGTGCCGCATGCTATATTGGTCTTGTACTATTTGCAAGGAGATTGCAGCTCTATTTAGTGGCTTTAACCGAGCACCTTCTCGGCAGTGGAAACTTTGTGATGTTAGCATAGAACGACACCCTTGATAGAAGAGAGACGTACCTTGGAGACCGGTGTTATCCGGCTCGACGAAAGCTTCCTTGACCTTTCCATTCTCAACGAGAAGAACGTAGCGCTTGCTGCGGTCGTTGCCGAAGATGGCGCTGCTGTCGAAGAGGAGGTCGAGCGCCTTGTTGAACTTGCCGGAGGGGTCACCCAGGAAACGAATCTGTTGAAATACAATGTCAGCTTTGCTGGGATCAAAATACAACGAAAACGGTAAGCTTACACCGCTCTTGCCGGAAGGATCGAGGGAAGCAGCCCAAGCCTTGGTCCTATATGATAGTTGCGTCAACAAATGTTCCCACGCTTCCGCGCTGCAATTCGACATGTATAGCTTACACGAAGGGGTCATTGACCGAGATGACAAAAACCTGACCGGCCTCCTTGAGCTTGGGGTGGTTGATGAAGCCGGGAACGTGGGTGCTCGAGCAGGCAGGGCCTTGAGAATGTCAGTCCGGATCCTATCTAGGTATCACAGTAGAGAGTTCACATACTGAAGGCAGCTGGAGTGCCAATGATGATAGCCTTGTTCTTGATCTCCTTGGCCAAATTGACCTTGTTACCGGGGGAGTTCTCGACCAGGACGTCCAGGTTAGGGATGGCGTCGCCCTTTTGCACGAACGCGGGCGCGGTGCTGTGGAAGAGGGAAGCTTGCACGCGAACGCGGGGGATGTTGGTTGCGATACGGCGGGCGAACATGGCGGGATTAATTGGGTTAGGATGGGATTGAAGTTCTATATTGGATCAAGGAGTAAGAGGAAGAAGTGTAGGTTGAAATAATGCGGAGAAGAGCAACCGTGGAAGGGCGGTATGTCGAGCTTGGGGGATTTCGTCATGGCCGTTGCATTTATTTTTAGGAACTCTCTTTAGCCTATGTGATATGTATGTATGTCTATGTCTATGCTTTTGCTTGTTTATTTCTATCCTAGCTATCGTCCTTATTTCCTATTTAATGCACATCATCGATATCGGCACAGACACTCTCGACCTTGTGGATACCAGTGCGACCCTGCGGAGGCTATACCGCAGGTACCGCCTATATGAGCTGTCACTTATCAGAAGTCTCTTTTTAAGAACAAGGCGGACTAGCTACCTTCGAATCGGATGATATGAAGTCGCATCCTATTCCTCCATGACGCAGTGGATCCTTGCTCCGTCACACGGTGGATCATAACCCCCCTGCTGAAGGATGCAGTCATCTTCGACGTTGTAGTTCAACACAGCAAGTTTGAAGATGGGGTTGACTCGCGAGGCTCAGGTGATAGAGGTGATTTTGCGCTTTTACGACAATGTGCTACGGTGCAAACTCGTGCGTTGGGCTGTTCACCAGCATCTAGACTATGGACTATGGAGTACGAGGTGCTTCGGTGGCTTTAGCCATAACCACGTAGCAAAGTCTTATGGGGTAGTTCTTGTTCTGCGGTGGAGACTCGTAATAGCATCGCATATTCATAAGATTCATGATATCCAATATCTTAATCTTAATCTTAAAAGTGGGAGAGACAATGACACGATGACAGGGCTGATCACCGATATCAAGCGCATATAAAGACATCATTGGGGGAATTGCTTTCCCCTCCATCTCGTGCGCACTGACAGCCCATAATTCATGCTGCATGTCTCTTTTGATAGCGAATAGGATCTGGTGAAGTTTTTTATTTTTTTTCCCACGAACTTGTATACAATACCTGGCTGGTACCTCTCTCTGTTCGGTGTGACCTGCTGGAATTCTGCCCCTCGTTGGTTCCTGGGTGCTGGGAGCATTCAACCTCCTTGCATGAGGAAATAGAAGCTGGAGAATAATATAATACAAACAAAAAGAGCAGCCCTACAAAATTGAAGCTCACGGTGCGTTCTGAAACATCGCAGTCCATTGAATGTACCAAGGCAGTACCTCCACAGTAACTTTGGTACTTGGCTCTACCGCTAAAGTAACTGACCGTACCCCCGTTATTATTTCATTTTTTCCCTTCTCCCACCCTCCGACAGGTCTGGCTTTCTATCCCCTCTACTTGTTTTCCACTGTTGGATGTGAACTGCCATTAGATCTGACATTATCCGCGTTGGGACGAAACCAGCCAGACCTGCCTGTTCGACCGGTCGCGACCCGTCTAGCCCAGCATGGACGGTGGCCAGACCTCTTCCAATCCCGCCCCCGCTGGGAACTCCAGTGATTTTGTTAGTCGTCCGCTATGGCTGTGAGAGATCTTGGCTAACACTATGGATAGGTACGCAAGCTGTATAAGTAAGTCTTGCTTCGCGTCAGACGGATCCTGCGACCGTGTTGGCCTTTTAAGCTGATCTTTTCCACAGGATGCTGGAGGACCCGACCTATTCGTCCATCGTGCGCTGGGGCGATGAAGGGGATTCCTTTGTCGTATTAGAGGTAATGCACCCGTGTTTTTGTCCAGCTTCGGTCTCTTTGACGCGTGGCTAACTCGAATCCCAGTGCGAGAAATTCACCAAGACCATCCTGCCGAAGCACTTTAAACACAGCAACTTTGCCAGTTTCGTCCGCCAACTGAATAAGTACGATTTCCACAAAGTTCGACAAAACAATGAAGAAAATGGCCAGTCACCATACGGGCAGAATGTAGGCATCCCAAATTGAAGCTTGATTGGACCGGATCTCACACAAATACAGGCATGGGAATTCAAGCATCCAGAGTTCCGCGCAAACAGCAAAGAATCGCTCGACAACATTCGACGAAAGGCGCCTGCGCCACGAAAACAAACTCAACCGAGCGATGAATCCGTCCCCACGCAACAAATTGATCTTCTTAACCAGCAGATTGTGGCGCAACAGCAGCAGATCCAGCATCTATCAGACCGATATGCCCAGCTCACGGTGGATCATCAGCTCATGCTACAGGAAGTGATGCGAGTGCAGAAGACGGTTCTCAACCACGAGAATGTCATTCACCAGGTGATGACCTACTTGCTTTCGGTGGATGCGCGCCAGCGTCGAGATAGCAAGGCTGTGACTTTCCAAGCCCCCGGAACGACAATGAGCCCTTCTCAGGTTGGTGCAGTAGACGATGAACCCTCATCGCCCCTCCAGCAAGCCTCCAAGCTCCTGAATGACATGAACGCCGAAATACAATTCAATATGAACGGCGTCGACCCGATGAACGATCCTCAAAAAACCGTCGTGTCAACTCCCAATTTGGATCCGCATGCACGAAATGGTTCCCTCCGTCCCGCGGCAACTGCACCGCCAAACCCAGCACTTGCTTACCCTAAGATGGCCGGCGATCTGGAGCAAGTGGTGTATCCTGTGGGTGCTACAAACGGCATCGATCCCATGTACAGCGAGCATATCAACAATGTTCCGTATCCAATGCCCGCTAAACAGGAGATCGATACGGATGCTCGTCGGCAGTTTGCGGACAATCGGAAAAAAAGCACGAATGTGGACCCTGGCTGGGTGCGCAGCCCTCAGATTCTCTTGGTTGAAGACGATGCCACTTGTCGGCAGATTGGCGGTAAATTCTTGTACTCTTTCTCGTGTGTTATTGATACCGCGGTATGTCATCAGTCTGTCCTATTGACCACAAGGATACTAATTCCTCTAGTTTGACGGCCTGGAGGCTGTGAACAAAA